AACTAAAATTAAAAAATATATAAATTAATTTTTAGAACTTTAAAAGGGTGGACCCAAAATTTGTTTTTTCCGCCATTTTGATTGATGTTTTTGTAAAGCAGTGAACCTTAAAAACGCGTATAAGGTTTCTTAAGCTATAATATTATAAAACGTGTTTAAGCTAAAATTGACTTTTAAGTCTTCTAACTACTAAACTTTTACGTAAAATGAAACTTTTTGTCATTTACTGAATGTGTTAAATTATAAAACTGTGCAACAGTTTTATAATTTAAGACAAATCTTATATGTTTAATTGAAAAAGTAAATATTTTGAAAATTAATTTTGTCTATATATATATTAGATGTTCAAGAGATCAGAGCCGAAGAGGTCTTGCCAAGTAAGCTAATTTTGTATGAGAAGGATACGTTACAAAGATATATATTTCACCAATTTCAGCAATTTGTTAATTATAACTTTTTTTTAATGTTTAGCGGAAATAATGGACAAGCTAAGTGAGGAATTTTGTTGTTGTTTTTTGTTTTTTTTGTGTGCAAATACATTTATGCTTTTTTAGTTTTTTTAAAGTTATTTAGCAACTGACTTTGGTCAGTTGTGACAGTTAGTCAGTCAACAAGTGACTTTTGTAACTTTTAAATTTATTTTATTTAGAAAAATTAGAAGATTCTGTTGAGAATCTAAGTAAGCAATTTGTTATTGTTGTTGTCATGCTCTTTATTTTTTTTATTACATATTTATTTAACATAAAGTTATTCTATATTCGGCAAGTTAGTTTATTTTAATGTTTATAAGTTTTTCATTTTATTTAGAAAAATTAGAACATTCAATGGGTAAACAGAATTTGATTATATTACATTTGTGTATTATAGATAAAGATATAGCATTTTACTTTCAAAAAAAAAGGTGTATTCTATGGTCTTTTAGCTTTTTTGATACAAGTTTTAGCATTTTTTTTTATAGGGCTTATATTTCAACAACTTAGTAAGTTACTATATTGTTCTTGTGGATTGTTTCTTTAGTTTATTTTTTATTTTTTTTTGTCGCTTTTTTCTTTTTTGGTTTGTTTTGTTTTGTGATTGTTATTTTTGCCTTTTGTTTTGTTCCAACTTTATTTATAGATTTCCTAAAGTTGACAAATATTCTGCATGTTTAACATGCAGAATATTTGTCAACTTTATTATTTATATTTGTCAAAAACTCATTAACATTAGGAAAGAAACTAACATTGTTTGTTTCTTTCCTAATGTTAATGAGTTTTTTTTTATTCTATTTAGAAAATTTAGAAAATTCAATTGGTAAGCAAAGTAGACTTATGTTTCTTTTTGTTTATTTTTAACACACAATTTTTTGATGTTTGTGTGCGGTTTTATCACTCTAAAATAAACTGTTTAATTGATTAGTTTATGTAAATATATTTTTTACCTCCACTATAGCGTCATCTGCAGTACCATCAGGTAATGTGTTTTGCATTCTTATGCAGTTTTAAGAGTGGTATGTGTGTTAAAACTTAAAGATAGCATATCTTAATTTACAGATTACTTTATTTATTTTTTTGTCTCTACATTAGCACCTCAAGCAATAATATCAGGTAATCTGCTTAGCATACTTATGCAGTTTTATGGGTTTTATGTGTATTTAAACTTAATCATTACTGTTTTCATGCAATTACATAAATGTTTAACATATGTTACTTTATACACTTTTTTTTTTTACCTTTACAATAGCATCAATATCATCTGCAGTACCATCAGGTAATGTGTTTTGCATACTTATGCAGTTTTATGAGTGTTATGTGTATTGAAATTAAACATTACTTTTTTCATGTTTGTTATCAATTACATAAATGTTTAACATATGTTACTTTATACACTTTTTTTTTTTTACTTTCACAGTAGCATCAATATCATCTGCAGTACCATCAGGTAATGATGTAATTTAATGAAAAACTTAAAGATTGCATATCTTATTTTGCACATCACTTTATTTCTTTATTTTTTTGTCTATACATTAACACCTCAAGCAATAATATCAGGTAATCTGTTTAGCATACTTATGCAGTTTTATGAGTTTTATGTGTATTGAAACTTAATTTTTTTTTTTCATGTTTTCATGCAGTTTCATAAATGTTTAACATATGATACTTTATACACTTTTTTTTTTTTTTTACTTTCACAATAGCATCAATATCATCTGCAGTGCCATCAGGTAATGTGTTTTGCATACTTATGCAGTTTTATGGGTTTTATGTGTATTGAAATTAAACATTACTTTTTTCATGTTTGTTATCAATTACATAAATGTTTAACATGTGTTACTTTATACACTTTTTTTTTTTTACTTTCACAATAGCATCAATATCACCTGCTGTACCATCAAGTAATGTGTTTTGCATACTTATGCAGTTTTATGGGTTTTATGTGTATTGAAACTTAAGCATTACTTTTTTCATATTTGTTATCAATTACATAAATGTTTAAAATATGTTACTTAATACACCTTTTTTTTTTACCTTCACAATAGCATCAATATCATCTGCAGTGCCATCAGGTAATGTGTTTTGCATACTTATGCAGTTTTATGAGTGTTATGTGTATTAAAACTTAAAGATAGCATATGTTAATTTACAGATTACTTTATTTATTTTTTTGTCTCTACATTAGCACCTCAAGCAATAATATCAGGTAATCTGTTTAGCATACTTATGCAGTTTTATGGGTTTTATGTGTATTGAAACTTAGACATTACTGTTTTCATGCAATTACATAAATGTTTAACATATGTTACTTTATACACTTTTTTTTTTTTTACTTTCACAGTAGCATCAATATCATCTGCAGTACCATCAGGTAATGATGTAATTTAATGAAAAACTTAAAGATTGCATATCTTTATTTGCACATCACTTTATTTCTTTATTTTTTTGTCTATACATTAACACCTCAAGCAATAATATCAGGTAATCTGTTTAGCATACTTATGCAATTTTATGAGTTTTATGTGTATTGAAACTTAAACATTACTTTTTTCGTGTTTGTATGCAATTACATAACTGTTTAATATATGTGTTTGTTTATATACTTTTTTATTTATTTCTGCAATAGCAACAGTATCAACTGCAGTACCACCAGGTAATGTGTTTTCCATACTTATGCAGTTTTTCCGTATTTATGCAGTGTTATGTGTATTGAAACCTAAACATTACTTTTTTCATGTTTGTATGCAATTACATAACTGTTTAATATATGTGTTTGTTTATATACTTTTTTATTTATTTCTGCAATAGCAACAGTATCAACTGCAGTACCACCAGGTAATGTGTTTTCCATACTTATGCAGTTTTTCCGTATTTATGCAGTGTTATGTGTATTGAAACCTAAACATTACTTTTTTTATGTTTGTATGCAATTACATAACTGTTTAATATATGTGTTAGTTCATATACTTTTTTATTTATTTCCATAATAGCAACAATATCTGCAGGACCATCAGGTAATCTGTTTTGCATACTTATGCAGTTTTGTGGGTGTTATGTGTATTTGTGTAGGTATATATGAAATTTAAACATTGCATATCTATATTTTTACATTACTTTATTTATTTATTTTTTTTGTCATAACTTTTTTTTTTTTGAAGTCTAAATAGTTTTAGATAATATTTTTATTGGTTGTTTTGTGCAGTATTGTATTCAAATTTATTTCTTTTTTTGTTTTTGTTTTTTAGCATCATATCAAGATTTCCTGCAATATCGCTCCCAGCACCCAGGTCCAATATCTTCAAGAGCTTTTTACCGGTGGAGTCAATATGGGGGAGATGATCCCTCCTTTAGATGGAGGAGAGAAGCCCCATATGACACCACTGGTAGAAGGAGGGGTGCTGGAAAGCGGTTTAACTCTTTTAATTTCTACCAGTAGCTTTTTTAAACTACTGGTAGAATTATCTTCTTTTTTATTTATAAAGAAAATTGAATTTTTAAAAAAATGTTTTTTTAATTTCGCAATTTTTTATTATTTTAATTTATATACTTTTACTATTTTATTTTTTTGATTTTTAATTCTGTTTTTAAATCCTAAACTAACAAAGAACTCTTATGTTATAAAAGTTTTTAATAATTTGTCTATAAGTTTTTTTATTAATTTACGTTTTTACATCTTTTTATCCTCATTTTTAATTTTAATAATACTAAATTTTCTTTTGTATTAACTTTTATTTGTTAAGTGTTATATAGTTTTTGAAAGATTGGGTAAATATATTTAAAGTTTTTCTTTTTCTATGATATCTGTTTAATATGTCTAATATATGCACTATACACATAATAATCTCTTTACATTATTCTCTTTAGATATATTATAAAATAGTATTTAAAATCAGTTGTCAGCCACATGTGGTCTATATGATCCAACATGTTTGCAATTGTTGGCATGTCATTTAAAAATATGTAACTAATTTTGCTTTTCAATATTACCATTAATATGACTTTTAAAATAATAAAGTTTTTTATTTGTTTCAAAAAATACTGTTTTATTACTTACAATATAGTATGTTATTACAAGATACTTCTGGCTTTTTCTCTGTTTCAAACCAGTTATATCTTTTGTTCACAAATTTTATTAGATGCTATACACATAGTTTCATAGGTTTAAACTGATAAATAGCACTTTATTGTTTTTGTTCATTTTAGATTAGTATAGCAAAAAATTATTAAGATAAAGTTTTATCAAACATAAATAATTTCTCAATTATGTCAAGTAACCTAAGAGCTGAAAATAGAAGAAATCGTCGAAATGAAAGAAATGAGGCCAGACGAGAAGAAATTAATCGTTGCCAAAATGAGAGAAATGAGGCCAGACGAGAAGCAATTAATCGTCGCCAAAATGAAAGAAATGAGGCTAGGCGAGAAGAAATTAATCGTCGCCAAAATGAAAGGAATGAGGCTAGACGTGAAGAAGTTAATCGTCGCCAAAATGAAAGAAATGAGGCTCGACGAGTATTATTTAGGCGTGAAATGCATTGCATAGCAAGAAATAATGTTTTTATAGAGAGTAATTACCTAGGAGAAATGAACCATAATTGTCAGTATTGTGGTGCTAAAAAATTTTTAAATGAAACACATTTTTTGTGCTGCCATTCGGGAAAGGTTGTCTTACCTCCACTTTCACCTTATCCACCGCTGATGGTTGATTTAATGACAGGCAACCATGTTGATCGTGCTTTGAATCAAAATTTTTTCAAGCATATACGAAATTATAATGCCTGTCTATCTTTTGCTTCATTCATAGCCACAATAGATCCTCCGTCAAATTGTGGTCCACCCTGTTTTAGAATTAGTGGGCAAATTATGCATCGTATTGGTAATCTAAGACATCAGCAAGGAGATCCACCTGCTTATTGTCAATTATATGTTTATGATCCTAATACTGCTTTAAACTTTCGAATGGAGCAAAATGATTGTTGCATACGTGAGTTAATGGAACTTTTGCAGACTATAATTAATCAGGAGAACCCATATGCGCTTGCATTTAAAAACATGGCAGAAGTTGAAGATGCAGAAATTCGTCAAGCTGCTATAGAAGGTCGACCGATTTCTGTTGTCAAAATGTCGTTGCTTGAGGGTTGTGATAGACGTTGATACAATCTTCCATCACATGAAGAGGTTGCCATTGTGTTTGTAGGAAATGATGGCGCTCCACCTCCATCTAGAGAAGTTGTTATTTATCCTCGAGGTCAACCCTTAAAAACAATTTCAAGTATGTCTGCAAATCTAGATCCAATGATATATCCAATATTTTTTTCCAAGAGGTGATGCAGGATGGCATGATCAACTAGAGCACAATCCTGACCGAGCAACACGTGTTCGAAATCGTGTTACTTTATCTCAGTACTACAACTATAGGCTTTCTATTAGACAAACGTTCAGTCCTATATTTTATGGTAAGAAACTTTTTCAACAGTATGCTGTTGATGCATATGTCAAGATTGAAGGACAGCGCCTTGCTTTTATCAGAAATAACCAAAACAAACTTAGAAGTGAACAATACGATACATTACATGAGTATGTAAATAATGTTGCAAATAACCTTAATGTAAGACCGGGTCGTGTTGTTATACTACCATCCTCATATGTTGGAAGTCCAAGAGCTTTAAAAGAAAATTTTGAAGATGCAATGGCAATTATAAAGAAATATGGTAAACCAGATCTTTTTATTACTTTTACCTGTAATTCAAAATGGAGAGAAATTACAGAAAATTTAAATCCAGGTGAGAGCGCAACTGACAGGCCTGATTTAGTTTGTCGCGTATTTAAGATGAAACTTAAATGCTTCTTAGGTGATATTTTTAAACATGGAGTCTTAGGCAAAGTTGTAAGTCATGTACAGGTTATTGAGTTTCAAATACGTGGTTTGCCACATGTGCATATTTTATTACACTTTGTAAACGATGATAAGCTAGAAACAGCAGAGGATATTGATAGTTTAATATCAGCTGAAATTCCAGATCAAACTGTTGATCCTGAACTTTTTGAAATTGTAAAAACATGTATGATTCATGGACCATGTGGGATTTTAAATCCCAATTCTCCTTGCATGAAAGATGGAGTTTGCACAAAAAAATTTCCTAAAGAGTTTAATCCTTGCACTGTTGCAATTTTCAATGGTTATCCTAACTACAGGCGTTTAGATAATGGTAGAGTAGTCATTATAAAAGGTAACCAAGTTGATAATCGATGGGTCGTACCCTATAACCCCTGGTTATCAAAAAAATACCAAGCCCACATTAATGTTGAAGCTTGCATGTCTATTAAGTCAGTGAAGTATTTATACAAATATGTCTATAAGGGGCATGATTGTGCGAATGTGGTAATTAATGAAAGTGTTGACCATGATGAAATTAACACATATTTAGACTGTCGCTTTGTTTCCGCCCCAGAGGCTCTTTGGCGAATATATGAGTATTCCATAAGTGATATGTCACATACTATTATCCGCCTTCAAATCCACCTTCCTGATAATCAGAGAGTACATTTTAACGAAGGAGAAGAACAAGTAGCTATAGATCGTGCAGCACAGCGTGACACTCACCTAACCGCTTGGTTTAAGTTAAATGCTGAAAATAATGAAGCACGTCAGTATTCTTATGTTGAAATTCCATATCACTTTGTTTTTGGTAAAAATTGCATGTGGAAAGTAAGACAAAGAGGTAGTGATAAGGTGGTTGTTCGAATGTATAAAGTCAGTTCATTTTGCGAATTATTTTTTCTCAGGTTGTTACTTTTGCATGTAAAAGGTGCAAAGTCTTTCGAGGATTTGCGTACTGTTCATGGTACTGTTTTTAATACATTTCGTGAAGCATGTTATCATTTAGGTTTATTGCAAGATGACATTGAGTGGAGAAATACATTAATTGAAGCTGCTGCAACTCGGATGCCTAAACAAATTAGGCTACTGTTTTGCATCATATTAACTTTATGTGAACCTGATGATCCTTTACACCTTTGGAATACATTTAAAAATTATATGGTTGAGGATTACATACACCATTCAATGCCAGTCGTACTTGCTGAGCAGGCAGCTCTTCGTCAAATTGAATCTATAATTATTCAGAGTGGTAAAACCTTAGCTGATTATAATTTGCCAGCTTTAGATCAGTTTTTAGATAATGTCCCAGAAAATGATGATGAAGATGTTCAGGCGTTTATTGATGAAGCAAACCGAGTTAGACCATTATTGAATGATAATCAACGTAATGTAGCTGATGCGATCCTTGCTGCACTAAGTGTGGAACCTACTAATGAAAATAAGCATTCAAGGTTGTTTTTTATGGATGGGCCTGCCGGTTGTGGTAAAACATTTACTTACAACTATTTAATTTCTGAAACACAGAGCAGGCATATTAGAACTGCAACAGCTGCATGGACAGGAATAGCTGTAACTCTTCTCAAAAATGAGTGCACAATGCATGGCTTATTCAAACTTCCTGTTCCAATTTTGGAAACTAGCACATGTAATGTAACTTCAAACTCTATTCATGGTAGATTCCTGAGACAAATCAGTTTGTATTTACTTGATGAAGCATCTATGATACCCAAATATGCTTTGAGTGCCATTGATAAGCTATTACAAGATATTTGTAATAACAACTTTCCTTTTGGTGGTAAGGTTATTCTTATGGGTGGAGACTTCAGACAAATACTTCCAGTTGTGAAGCGAGGTCGACCAGCAGAAGTTATAGAATCATGTTTAAAATGTTCTGAACATTGGCAATATGTGCAAAGGTTCTCATTAACTGTAAACATGAGGGTTCAGATAGAAGAAGAGGAATTTTCTCAATGGCTTTTAAAGCTTGGAAGTGGAGCATTACCTGTCAAGCCTGAAGATCCTTTGCGAGGGTGTATTGAAATACCTGAGCAGTGCTTTCTCAGTGATAATGAATCTATTGTGGAGAAGATTTTCGGTGGTGCAGAAGAAGCTGATTATGCAAAACGTGCTATTTTAACGCCAACAAATGTTGATTCATTGGCAACAAATGAAGAAGTCCTTCATCGCTTACCCGGTGATGTGAAAACATATTTAAGTTCAGATAGCATTGATACTGATGATCTTAATGAAGTTAATAATTTTCCAGTCGAGTTTTTAAATAGTTTGACTCCATCAGGTATGCCTGTTCATTGCCTAAAATTAAAAATTGGTGCTGTTATAATGCTACTTAGAAATTTAGATCTCAAAGGTGGACTTTGTAATGGAACCCGTTTGATGGTGCGTGCATTACACAACAATTATATTGATGGTGAGGTTTTAACAGGTGTATCAGCTGGTAACAGGGTATTTGTTCCTCGAGTTCAATTAGCTCCATCAGATGCAAATTTACCTTTTACACTTAAACGCCGTCAGTTTCCAGTTAGGTTAGCATACTCAATGACCATAAATAAAAGTCAAGATCAAACATTTGAAAAAGTTGGTGTTTATCTCAAAAAACCTTGCTTTTCACACGGCCAATTATATGTTGCATGTTCAAGAACAAGATCATTTAATAGTTTGTTTTTCAAAGTTGATAAACATCCATTACAAGGTACGTCATTTAACAAACATTACACAAATAATGTTGTCTTTACAAATGTTCTTAATTTATAATTTTGACAAGTATATTATGTGTTATATGTGTTTTATATTTTTTGTATGTTTTTTTTTTTTTTTTTTTTGCTATATGTGTATATAAATGAATGTGTTTATATGCGTTTATATATCTTTATTTATATTTATGTGCTTAAGTTTATACAAGTTTATATTAAGTTGTTTCCATGTGAAAAGTTGTGTTACTTGGCAACGTGTAGTGCAAGATTGTGATTCTTGCTAGCCAAGCGGTGTTACTAATTAGTGGTGTTACTTGGCACTTAATGCCAAGCGGTGTTACTAAATTGTGGTGTTACTTGGCAGCGTTTAGTGCCAAGCGGTGTTACAAGTGTTGAGCTAGGTTGTGTTGTCTAGCTTTTTTAATTATTCTGGAAACACATAATCTGAATATTTTGTGTTATGTGCAAATGTGTTATGTACAAATATTTGATGCTATGTGTATTCAGTAGCATAGGCAGGGTCTTTTGATGCTTCAGATAGCATTTTCAACCAAACTTAAGTGCATTCACGTTTATAGAATTAAAATACTTTGCAAAAAATTGATGTTTTTAAAGCTTAGGAACAAATGTTTAAAAAAAGTGTTTTTCCTAACCTGAATTTTTTTAGACGTAACAAAGTTGAACTCTTCAACAGCTTCTAAATATATATCTGAAACAACAAAAATCCTGCCTACACTACTGGTGTTATTGTTTGTCATCCTGTAATGTTGTTGTGATGTTTTGTGTTGATAGACAGCTTGGCTTACCTTCACGTTGGTGTCTATCGTTAAAAATGATTATTGGGTAGCTTCATTACTGAAACTTACTCCTAATCATTCACTAAAAGCCAAGAAATATTTTAAGAAAAAAGGCCTAATTTTTTTGTGTCAGTAAGAATTTTTATCTTTAGCAATGCTGATAAAACTGAATTTTTTTAAAAAAAAGAGTTATTCCAGCCTTCCAACCAAATATTAGAGACTTTTAAAAAAGCACTCTCACAAAGTAAGTGTCTAATCTTCTATATAATATTGCCGAACTAATTTTTACTAAATTTTGTTTCGTATTTTTCATTTCTCAAATGAATTAACATAAAACAAATAAATGTGCATTCAGTGTTATCAATAATGATTTTATTTCATTTTTAGATAATGCTTTTATAATCAATTTAAAAGTCTTTCAAATCGTTAACCATTTTCTAAAGGCGAAGAAGAAGAATCATCAATCTTCATACCATTTAATAAAGCTATTATAATAAAACGCAATACAAATTGTTGTAAATTAGTATTTGAATAATTTTCACGTTGTTACCTTATTTTGCAGTTTCCTATCACTTTGTATTGAATTAACTAAATCCAATATTACAGTTCCTTTTATCAAGTACTTTACATTTTCTGTTTTTGTTTTATGCAGAAAAACAGATCAAATTAATTTATTTGACTTGCCTAGCTACTTATTTTACAGGCGTAGCCACAGTGAGTGTGCATAAATCAACAGAGGATTTGGGTTTGGGCAGGTTGTCTTGAATTAAATGATTTACCTTCTTCATGTTAAGCTCTAAATATAAATATACGGAAAAGGTGCATATGTGAATTTTTTTTTTCTAGCACATAATCTATTGTTCACTAAATAATATTTGAGGGAGAAATAGAGATAAGGTTAATGTGGAATAGAGTTTGTCTTTTTAAGTGAAAAACTATTTTATAATCTATCTATCTTCTTCTATATAATATTGCCGAACTTAATAGTAGTGTTAGTAGAAAGAGTCGCAGCACTTTTTTTAGAAGAAAACGTGTATGCAAATATCTAACGTACGTAATTAAGTAATGATAAAACATACTGAAACATTTTTCAAGTTTTATAGTTTGACTTTGACTTAAAAATTGCATTGCGTCAACCTCTCCTTAATTTTTGATCTACAGCAATTCCGTTAAAAACAATTTTTATATATTTTTAAAATTTCGATATTTGATGTGTCAGCATGGCCGAGTGGTTAGCGCGCTAAGCTTCTGAACGTAATAGTCGTGGTTCAAATTTACCACCAGCGATTTTTTTCTTTAAATTACAAAATATTTGTGAAGTTAAATAAGTTAAATGTTATACACTTTAACCGTTTTTTCTTTTTATATTTTATATATTTTTTGGATTTCTAAAAACACCAATAAACGGGGCGAAAATTTGTTGCGTGTGTGTCACGATTTTGATACTGTTCTCACATAATTGGTCCTAATAAGCTACGGATAGTCTTTAAAAAAAAGGTCCTAAAACCTAATAAAGAAAAAATTTGATAAAACCGTCCTGCTACTCCACATGGTATTGCAGTCGAGGCAGGGAAAAAAAAAACAATTAAAAGGTTTTTTTTAATATTTAATTTTTTGCTATAAATATAGCCAGATTAAAAAAAATGTATTGAGATTTTTTAGGCGCGGATTTGAAGCCTTCAACAGCGAATCTGATGACAGCGCACTTAACTTGTGAGCTATCAAAGTTATGCATGTAGTTAGGCGCTTCAACATTTTTTTAAAAATGTAAAATGAAAACAAAATAAATACCATAAGTAAGAGCTAAATAATAACGTTTAAAAATTACCAAACTTTTTGTTATAATATTATTAATTCTTCAACTTTTAAACCACAAAATTTAAAATTTATTTTTTTGCATGACTTTTGACGCTTTAAGCGACTAACGTTTTAAAGAATTGCATTACCGTTTCCGTCTAATACAAAGATAACTATAAAAGACCGTTATTATTCAAAACTAAGCATATAATAATAATAAATATAGTAAACTATTAAATATGGCTAGGACGCGACCATAAACCATGATCCATGGCTGGTCTAAATGTAGAAAGTAGTTTAGTTCAGAATTTTTTTTAAAAAAAATAAATAAACGGGGTTTAATAAGCTATATACGTATGCGGAAAAAGTGCGTATGTTAAAGTTTTTTTTTGCTCTCAAAGCAAATTTTTTTGATGAATTTTTTTCCACCGTTTACTAAAAAATATTGAAGTAAATAAGGAACAAGTAAAGAAATGATTGGCGTGGAATAAATAAATATAGAAGTAGAAGAAAAGACCTGTATTTACCGATACGGACAGCTAGATTAAGAAAATAAGGGAAAAGGTTTGTGTGGAATAGAATTACAAAGACCCGTATTTTTACGGGTCAATCCAGCTAGTATTTTTATTATATGCATTGCGTAAGTTATGGACGATCCCTTTATTTAAAGAAAACAATTCTGAAAAAACGAGAATAATCTTTCCTTACCATAAAAACATAATGTTAGTTTTTAACAAAAAAAATAGAATTATAGAAAAGCTTGTTGCAAAATTATAGTAAAGTTGGATGCAGTTGTGGAAAATCATAAATAACTAAATAAAGGAAGTTTTAATTTTTTTTTTTAAATTTACACCTACCTTTATTTGAGAAAAGTGAAATTCCTTCTCAGTAGGCACGAGACGTAAAAAGAAAACATTTAAACGTCTTTTGGATGTTTTGGACGTCTTTTAGACGTTTAAAAACGTCATTTTTAGGTCCTGTGCCCACTGAGTTGAGAGTATTTAATCATTAAAAAATTGTTTTAAGAAGGCATAAACTAAGATTTAGATTAAAGAGTTTAAAGCTAAACTTAGTCAGTTATTACTAAAAAAATAATTTACCTCAAAACTATTTCTAAAAATGCAAAATATCCTTATGATTAATCTATCAGTTAAATAAAAAGTATATTAATTAGAGAAACGCTTAAGTTGAATGCTTTTTTTACTTTTCAAATTTATTTGTTTTTGTTGTTTAATATGTGTTGTTGTTCTATTTATTTTTTGATTCTTAGACTTTGGTTTTGTAAACTGTAGTTTAATATCCAAAAAATAATAATAATAATAAAAAATAAAAAAATTATTAAAAAATAAATTGATGATTTTTCAAAAAATAATAAATAAATTTTTTTAAAAGAATATGTTCAAGTGATTAGCGCGTCTTGTTATTTTTTAATAATATGATTTCTTTATTACTTTACCTAATGCTTCAATGGCATTTCTTCTAGTACTTGATAATTTATTTATTTTAAATATAACACATAAAATACAGCTAAGAACTAATTTTTACTAACAAGTACGAAATTTTTTTACCAATAAGTAACTAAATTTTTACTAATAAGTACTATTTTATGTGTTATATTTTAAATAACTTTACCAATTTTATGTTTGTTTATTTTATATTATTTTTAAATGAAAGTTTATATTTACGGAATTTATCAAAGGGCTTGGCGATAAGACATATTATTCTTCTTCTCTCCCCTGCTACATATATATCTTGTTATTTACATACGGTTTGTATATATTAACACTGCAAAAATAAAAAAAAGATAATATGAAAGTAGTTTTATGATAAAGTCAGTGGCTCTGCAATAAATTATAAAACAAGATAAAGAAAAAAAAAAAGACAATACAAAAGTAGTGGTTTTAACCCCCTACCTTTATATTGTCTAGTTTTATATAATAAAATTTATCCATAAATCATTATCTACTTATTTTATATTAGAAATTTAACGTAATCAAGTCTTAGTGATATATATAGAAGACAGCAAATATGTTTTAGAAACCAACGAAGCGTTTTTTGCAATCTAAAAATTGATGCTACTGCAGCGTCTTTTTGAAGATTTTGTTAAAAATATGTTAATGTTGTTGTCTGATATATAGCATTTAAAAATTAAATAATAAACTTAAAAAATTAAAGTTAAATACTATGATTGTGCAATATCTGAAAAACGTTTTTTTCTTGACTACCATATAGTCCAAAATAAAACAAATACAAATAAGCAATATTAGTATTAAATGAAAGAATTAAAATTAAAAGAAGAAATTAATTTAAAAAATTACACCAGGATTTATCAGATATAACTTCCAGACATGGAGCAAACTCCAAACATTAGTATGTTTCTACTTATGTCAAATAATGGGGCTGTGCATAAAATCCCCCCCATACCCCCCTTCCTCCTTCAAACGTGTGGGACAACAAGTTGGTATAAAAATTTTTTTACTAATCTCAATTAGACTTATATTCATTCATAGTATTATCTCTCAGCGTTTTAAAAATATGACCGTATAAAACTAATTAAATTATTTGGTCATAATTTTTGAACGTTGAGAGATACTATCAAACTTGATATCATAAAAACTAATATCATATAAAAGGGGAGGTCCTCCAAAAATTGACAAAGTTTGAGTTTGACAAAGGGGGA